GGAGCCGGCTGGGGTGCACATGGAAGGTTAATAAGCACAATTAACTATTAACGTTGCGCCAATAAAAATTAAATTTTCAGACGCCGTAAATAGGAAATAGTGCTGCTGCGGGGGTTTTTATTTTTTTTCATTTTGAAGAACGGAAAAAAATAGTATGGAGAAGGGGGAAAGAAATACAGCCCGAAAGTTAGCATCGTCCTCCCGGTGACTTGCTAATCGCATCTTTGCGCTGACCACTGCACCTCTGAACGTGTCACTTGGTGAAGCGGGAGCAGGCGCTGCTCACCTCACAGAGCTCCACCGGTCCCATTGTGTTTCAAACTAGCCCGTGCTCGCACGCCGTTTTATATAGAAAAGGTGATTGCAATTTTATGGGGAGAATAATCTGTCCTGCTCTTCTACCTGGACAGCAGCTGCTAACATGTGAACTCCAGCTACTAAAGGGATGAGTTATAGCCTGGCACTGTGCTTGCCACTCAACCCTAGTGTGGTAGCCAAGTAAAACAAATATTTTATATCAGTTCATATATAACTCTTAAAGGGCAGGAGTATGTGTATTTAATAGCCTGTCTCCAGTCTTTGGACATGATGTAAATATATATCAATGTAAAACTTAAATTCCGTGACCAGTTTCACTTGGCTCAAGTCTGCAATCCAAGTGTCAAGGAAGAATAATTTAAGTCTCTCTATTGGGGGTGGTCAGAGGTGTTGGAGGGAGAAGAAAGGGATGCATTACTAATGGGACATCATTTCAGGGGGTGGTGGTGTGTGTATGTATGCCTATATATAAATATATGCACACCGTATGTGGATAGGATACACACATAAGCTCATTCATTCCTACATGCATTCGCTTGTTACTTTTTTCCCTTTTTCCTTCTTCCCTACAGAGTCAAGATGGCTAAAGGTGATCCGAAGAAGCCCAAGGGCAAGATGTCTGCCTATGCCTTCTTTGTGCAGACGTGCCGTGAGGAACATAAGAAAAAGAACCCAGAGGTTCCAGTCAACTTTGCAGAGTTTTCCAAGAAGTGCTCAGAGAGGTGGAAGGTACCTTAATTTGTGACTTCTTGAAGGGACAACTTCTTATGGTATCTGCTAGGATGACGTGCCTGTGTCTGAACACGAAGGGAGCTGGTGCTTTTTGGTCTATGTGCTGTTCTTGGCAAGGCGTCCCAGCCATTGATCGGGTGCTGCTGACTCCTGTAATGATCACGAAGGCTTCAGCCCGGTGTATTTGCCCATTTAGGTGCTTCCACTACTGCCTGGCCTTTTTTTCCTGTTCCCAAAGCAGTGCCCTTCAGCAACTACCTCCCTCCAGGCCTGTATCCTCAAGGAGGACTCTGGCTGTGCTTGTCTCATTCCCCTTGTTTCCCTCTTGCCAAGTGTGCCAACTGTGGCTGCAGTCCCTGGTACAGGACCTTCGTCCCCACGGTGGTCCAGTTAGAAAACAAACAAATTCTGAAACTCTGCTATCGAGTTGTTATGTGTTGGCTTGTTTACTTAAAGTTTGCCAGCTATTGAACAGTTGGGTAATCACAGGCTCGGTGTCTTGTTTTTTAGACCATGTCAAGCAAGGAGAAGGCTAAATTTGATGAAATGGCAAAGGCTGATAAGGTACGATATGATAGAGAAATGAAGGACTATGGACCAGCAAAGGGTGGCAAGAAGAAGAAGGACCCCAATGCCCCAAAACGACCACCGTAAGTAACTTTGAGGTTTTAAATGCACAAGTACTGTGGTTTGTTCTTGTGCCCTGTAACACAGCTAATAGGTTTCCATAGAGGAAGCAGATGGGACATGCTGTTGGTGTAGCAGTATTGGTAATAGTCATAGCTTACTGGTGCTATCTTATGAAACTTCTGGGCAGCTTGTAACCTTGAGCATGTGGAGCACTAACAGGAATTGTCAGTACTTGGTACCCTTAAACTTACGGTGGTGGAAGACATGGAAGTGACCTTGTCACGTTGAGACCTGTGTATCTAAAATGAAATTGGATGGCAAGGGGAATAGACAACACTTGATTAAAAACAGCATTGGGTGAAGGCTGCAAGCCTGGGCCTCAGTAAACTCAAAGCACGTTTTGTGTGTGTGTGTGTGGTTTTTGTCTTTTGAAGTAAGAGAAAGTGTTTCTACCCAGCCTGTGAGTGCGTGTGTGGATGTTGTGGGTGAGGGACAGAGGAAAGTGCTGCTCCCCAGGCACACTGCTGTGGTGCTGACTCTCTTCTGGTGCTTCTTCCCAAGGTCTGGCTTCTTCCTCTTCTGTTCAGAGTTCCGCCCCAAGATCAAGTCCACAAACCCTGGCATATCCATCGGGGATGTAGCAAAGAAATTGGGTGAAATGTGGAACAACCTCAGTGACGGTGAAAAGCAGCCTTATAATAATAAGGCAGCTAAACTGAAGGAGAAGTATGAGAAGGTAAGGCTGGTTTTCTTCACTTGTGCCTCTTCCATGCCGGCTCTCATGTTGATGTGTTTCTCTAACAGACCTAGCTAAGGTGGCCTCAGCGTAGTGAGCACCTCCAGCTTATGGACCTTTTCTCATTGTGCTGCGTGCAACGTAGCCGAACGCTGTGTACGTTGGGATGGAGTAGGTTAGAGAGCTGCAGGTGGGTCCCAGCCAGGAGGGAGAGCTTTCCCCCAGTGATGCGCAGCAGCGGCTGCTTGTGTGGCTCCAGCAAAGGTTTTGCCGTCCTGTTAAAGGAGCTTTGTCCTGTTAGCAGGAAACTTTTAAGAGAGGCTGAGTTCTCTTTTTCTCAAAGAAATAGCCATGAACGCAGGGTTCGAGACCTCCGTCATCCACAGGCAGTTGCGTACGCTTAAGTGTCTGCGTACCTGTGTGCTGTGACACTGGCTGTCTGGCTCCCCTTTTGGGAGTGCAGCTGTGGAAGGCCAGTCCCTTTATGTTATCACCCGCTGCTGTACAAATGCTGAATGTGTTTGCTGCTTAGAGCAAATTAAGACATCCCCTTGACTTTGCAGGATGTTGCAGACTACAAGTCTAAAGGAAAGTTTGATGGCGCAAAGGGAGCAGCAACCAAAGCTGCTCGGAAAAAGGTAGAGGAAGAAGACGAAGAGGAGGAGGAGGATGAAGAAGAGGAGGATGAAGATGATGATGATGAATAAAACTGTACAATACTTGTCTCCATGTGAATACCATAGAGTAGGGGAAACACCATAAATGAAACACCTCTTATTTGAGATGGTGTCTCTTGCCCTTATTAGGCTTAATTAAAAAAAAAAAAAATTGGATTCCGATCGCGTTGTAGTTTCTAAAAGTGCTCTAGAAATTGTAACTGGTTTACATGAAGTGGCCATGGGTGTAGTGAGCACCCTGAAACTGTATCAAAGTTGTACATATTTCCAAACATTTTTAAAATGAAAAGGCGCTCTAGTGTTCTCCTAACTCTGTGCACTTTGCTGTTGGTGTAACAAAGCATTTAAAAATGTTTCAAGCATTTTTTTAATTTGTAAGGTGGTGTTACTATATGGTTATTGGCTAGAAAATCCTGGGTTATAAACTGTACATATCTATAGTTTGTAAAAACTAGACAGATTCTTGTAGTACATGCTTGGAGTTATGATACCTTAGAGGAGCAGTGATTACTTGGAAAGGCTGTATGTTCCCCGGGGTGCCATGACCCAAAGCATGGACTGTGAGGGTAGATCTATTTACACTACAGTGGGCGTCCATTTAGCTTAAAGTTGTCTTTCTGTATATAGTGAAATAGCATTCTGCTGCCATTCTTAGTTGTGGAAGGGGGTTCAGCTGGCATGAGAAGTGTATGGATTTTTTTAGTTAAGTGCGGTAGTTTTTAAACTGAAACTGTAGACATCTCTTCATCGTCAACTAAGTGAAGAGCCAGTGCAGCAACTGAAGTTCAAAAACACTCTGTACTTAAACGAATTTGCAACGTTCTGTTTTTTTTGTATGTTTAGAATGCTGAAATGTTTTTGAAGCAAAATAAACAGTATTACATTTTTAAAACTGTTCTTGACAACACTCTAAATTTCTGGTTTAAAAGGATCTAACAACAGCAAGAGGTTCATTTTGAAGTCTGTGGCATCCCTCAGGGCTGGTGACTTAGGAAACATTCTGACTCAAGGATTAAAAAAAAAAATAAAAAATAAAAAATAAAAAAAAATAAAAAAGGCCAGCCAAAACTGGCTGAATTGAAAGAGATGGCTGCTCCAGCTAATATGCAATCGTAACTGTTTATGGCTGAGTGGCATAAGATGCTATGCAAGTTTGAACTTTATTACTTGAACTTGGGAGCCTAAATGAACATTCATGACGTAATTGTTTGTGTGTGTATATAGCAGCATTCAGAGATGCAGAGAAAGGTAGGTGGATAGGAATGAGGCTGACACCATGAAATAAGTATAAAAGCATAGTTTGGATTTTTTTTTTCCAGTTGTGTTGGGTAAATTTATAGCCCAAATGCATTGCTGTACATATTAAAATGTGCCTTTTTTGTCCTGTGTTAAACTGTTTCAGACTTGTGGTTTTTTCTAGCATCTTAATTCGTGGCAGGAGCTGGGCGCTAACTCCCTGCTGAAGTAGGAGCATGGCGCAGGTACTTAGTCCGTGTCCTTTCTCTGGTGATGTGAGTTTTGGTAGGAATCGGGTGCTGTGAGGTGGGTTGGGGGAGTGATGCAGGACTCTGTCCCCTCTGGTGACCAGCTGGCTGTGTTGCAGTCCTGCCATTTTTCCAAATCCAAGCTGGGAATGTTTTGCAGCCTTTGGAAGGGAGAGGTAATACTCTCTAGCTGGTGACTCTAACCTAATTTTTCCTTAGCACGGAAACTCCACGAACTGGGAAAACTCCAGTCCCCCCTTGCTACCCTTGAATTCTTTCCTTGTGCTGGCTGTAGTTAGCAGTTGGTGTTTGCTTGGCAGCAAAGGGGAGATGGAGGTGTGAGGATACTTGCATCTTTGACCTGCTATTAATGCAGGCTGCTGTGTGCAGCTGACTTGAGAGGACAGGGTAACTCATTAGTGTAAACTGTGGGTATGGGCTGCTGCCCCTGCTTCCTTTGAGCCAAACTGCACATTAATGAGGGCCAGGCTTACAGGCAGGAACTACTAATGTGGATAAAACTGCTTCATTGCCTAATTGGGTAGCACATCTGGCTTTGTGTGACTTCTCAAGAACTGTAGTATCTTGGCAAAACAGTCTGATCTAGTGTTGAGATGGGCTAGAACCTGAAAGTGAAACCAAGCAAAACTTGGTATGGGAAGGAGTGTGCTAATGAAGTTTTGTGAAATGTAATATGTGGCAACTTTTTTGAAGGCTAAGTTACAGTTGGATCACTTAGAAATACTTCGATAATTGCTGAACAACGACAATTCTTAGTGTCTTTAATGCACAAAAAAACAAGTGTGAAATTTGCCCCCATTTTATGGGAAGTTGCATTTTAAAAGCTTCAATAAAGCTGCACCTGGAAAAGAAACAGGTACCTTTGTGTTCGCTACCCTTTCCACACATCTGATGTGAGGGAGAGGACAACTGGAGATTCCAGCACGTGGAGATTTGATGGGGAAGTGGTGGAGCAGAAGAGAAAAGCGATGGCATGGTTTCAGGAGCTGTAATACTGTTTCTATTGTCTAGTTGGCAAAATCTCCCCTTAGCCACATATGGGAATTAGCGTAGATCACTGCTGTGCAAATCGAACTTGGCTTTGAATTAACTGCTAGTGAGCTGAGCCCCCATTGATAGTATTAGCAAATAAGAACTAGAGCTGACACTGCTTTGTCTTTGCTGTATTGGAAATCTATGGAGTTGCAGGGCTTGATTAAGGTCTTGGACCTTAGTGTGCTACCTATTCCTGCTCTGCAAATTCCTAAAATATGGCATAGCTTAGGGATGCTGTTCAATACAATGCTAGTGCAGGACTCTGGGAGCTCAAATTTAGATATTGCAGATGTAGTGATGATGTTTCTTCCCCCAGTACTCTGCCACTGATAAATACCATAGTGTGAACGCACATAAATAACATTATTTCCCCTCCACACACACTGGTTTTTGTATTTCTGATATCTCAAATATTGGGATCTGCTTAATTTTACCAGCTCCGTTTTTTGATAGAACACCCTCCAAATGCTCTTTCTCTCTGCTTTGAAATGCTTGTGATGTTTCAGAGCAGATATTTCTGCTTTGGGCTGCTGTACAGCTAAAACTTCTAGTTTGACTTTAGTCCCAAGCCAAGCAGAGTAAATATGTCTCTTATTAACTCCGTTATATGTAGAGAAGGGTAATGATAAAATAAATTTGGGGAAAGGGAGGGGAGGGATGAAGAGACACTCTTCCTTGTGTGAACTAGACAGTGCTGACTGCAAGACTGTTCCTGAAATTCAAAATGTGATTTGTTATATCCCCCTCTGCTTGGTGAGGTGGGCTGTGAGGACAAGGGGCTTGGTTAAGAAGAAAGGATGGTGCTGGTACTGCAGCAGTTCAAGCCTGCTCACCTCTGGGGAGGCAGAGGATGGCTCGACTAGGTTGTGCAGTCCCTCTGGGTGCCCAGAACAGGAGCAGAGGTGTGAGAGCTTTTGCTCAAGTGAAAGCATCTCCTGGTGCTGATGTGGAGCAGATGCTGGGTGTGGGGCAGAGGCATGCTTGCCCAGCAGCTCTGACCCACATTGTGCAGGTTGTTGCCCAGGGTTGGTACCATTTGGTTTGGACTCAGGACTATACATAATCTCGAGAACACAGTTGTGACCAAAATGCACCACATCCCTCTGAAGTCAAACCGACTGGGGGGCGATGCCTCTGCCGAAAATGAGCCGGGTGGTCTATCAACACAACCTGGGGAGGCTGAGGAGTGATGCTCTCCTGCTGCTCTGTAGCCTACACATTTCTAAGTTTACTTGAAACGTGATAAATACTTGGTGTGAGCTGAAAGTGAGCCCTTAGGCTGGGGAGGGGCTTTGGGGAGAGGCTGCATTGGGGAACTCCCCCCTCCCCCCCCACGGGTGTGCGGTTAGCTCCCTGCAAGAAGTTGCAATGAAAACAGCACTGCAGGATGTTTTCCTACTGCTCACGTCAGTATCCTAATGCATCTGTGGGGAAGCAGTGCATTAATTTTTCTGTAATAAAATTAATTAAAAATCCTAGTCCAAATGCATATTGAATCAATTAGCAGGAAGCGGCTGCAGCTCTAACAGGTCCATAGGAAGGTGAGAGTCTGCTCTGGGGATCATACTGGGGATACAGGCAGAGCTGAAACACCTCTGTTACCTGAACGGCTGATTTCATATAGTTTTGTTCACTCCTAATAAACCCTGCAGGAGCAGCAGCGAGGTGCGAGGGCTCTGCTGGCTCTGGCTCAGGCGGTGGCAGGTGAAAGGCTTTTCGCATCCAACCTCCAGCATGTTCCTGGCAGCTGCCTTGGGTCTGTTTTCCCTCTGCTCACTCAGGCTGTTGTTCCACAGGCAGAAGAACACCCCTAAGTAAGCCCTCTTCTGCTGAGGGTTTTGTGAAGCAGGGGTGGGACCTGGAGAAGTGGCTGGGATGGGACATGGGATCTCCCCACTGGCTTTGTTGGGGTGGGAGGAGGATGCTGCGTTTACGGCCGTGGTATTGCCCTTCCCTTCCCTTTCTGACAAGCCACACACTCCTCTCTATGAACGTGAGCCTGAGCTTGCTCTCCTCTAGGAACTAATGAGGGAACTGTGACAAGTGTCATATTTATTTCTTTCTGCTAGAACTGCAGCAGATTTTAATGCAATAAACTGAATTGCAAACTGCAGCTGTGCTGCAAAACAAATTGTACTGGAGACCCTGTTACCAAACAGTTGCTCTCTTAAGCATGTTTCAGCTTGTAGTGGAGGAGGAACCAAGTAACCAGTGTGCCTGACAGGGGTTTACATGCCCTATGAGGTGTCTTCATCCCTTTTCAGCAGGCTCAGCTCCAGTGGGAGCATGGTGTGTGCCTGCCCCTGCAATGTTTGGTGACCTGTGTTCAAACTGCTCTGCAAACATCTCATCCTTCTGATAGGTACATGCTAAAGCGGGATGTGGATGAGGGGTGGCTCCTTGCCTGTGCTAACAACCTTGATTAGAGTTGTCTGCTGCTAAGAGCTCTTCCCTGAGCACCCTGCTGCACCTGGATCCCTAAATTAGGCAGGAGGAAGCAGCCATAGCCCTGCTATTGCCGACAGCTCTATCTCCTGGGTGGTGAGTACCTTCTTCTCTTGTTACTGGACGTGGCACAGCCTCACAGAAACACCTATGAAGTGTTAAATCAGGGTTAGTCCTTGTGTGAAGCCAGGGCAGAGATGGCAAGTGACCTGCCTGGGACTGAGGAGGCTGGATGTTGTGTGGAGCAGCAATCCTGGTGCTGTGGTGGGGCTGAGACCTTTGGAGGCTGGGAGGCATGCAAGCTGATCCTTTTCTTGTTGATGTTGAGAGATGGAACTGCATTAAGTGTGTTAAGGGGATGCCTCTCCTGTAGCTGTGACTTCATGTCCCTGACTGAGTCCAGTAGCCAGGAAAATTACAGCCGGGGACCGAGCCTTGCTGTGGGGCTGCATGTTTGTGTGCTGTTTGTTGTGCTGACTTTTGAGCCCCTAAAGTGCAGAGTGGCACTGCTTTGCCCCTGTACCTGCCACCTCGTCTTGCTTCTGGCTGGGTGCTCCCTGCCAAGACACCCAAGGAGGGGGAGCAGCCCCCCTGAGCGGGTGTCATACGCCTGCACACGCTGCTGTAGCCGAGCCCGTGCAAGGAGAGAGGCAGGTAGGATCTGCCAGTGATAGAATTGCTTTTTCTTCCCAGCCCCATTCCTTGTAAAGCTCCCTCAGGTATTTCAATTCAGAAAAATGCTCTTTTAAAAAAATATTAATCAAACAAGGCCTGGCTTTGTTGTTGTAAGAGCTTATTTTTTGTAAGTGTTTTTAACTGCTTCTTTGTGAAGCTGAAGATTTGCTTTGTGTTAGTTTAGAAAATTAATACGTGTAGAAGGGTGAAGTGGTTTGAGGGATTGCTTGAGACAAATGTCTCTTGCCTGCTGCTAATTACTGTGTGATTGCTCTTTTACTCTGTGTTACTTGGGATGTACCAGCAATAATTCATGGTCTTGCAAAAAAGGCTCAAGGAAGGTAGGAGCAGGGGCAATCTGGTCTCCAATTTTTGTAAAGAATACATTGGTCAAGTCTTGTTCTGTTTAGCCCTCAGGCTGGGTATCTTCCCTGGGCTTGGCTTCTGCAGTTGTTTTGGGTATGGCTCCATGCAGCTCCTGGTGAAGGTCGCTCCCCAGTAGCAGGAAGAGCAAAAGGAAACGTGTGCTGGGTCTTCCATTGCTCTATTTCATTGCTTCATGTGGTAACTTAATTTTTGCAAGCTGCTGGGAGGTTTTTCAAACCAAGCTCAAAGATCAGGGTGTCAGTAAAAGTCTTAAAGAGAACCCTTTCTTCCAAGGGTTTATCTAGACCAAAACCTGACCAAATAGCGTTAAGCTGCCTAATCGAAGATCTCTTGCTTGTTGCTCTCA